AAAAAATAAGAAGGGGCCCTTCAGGGAGCATCTCGGTGTAAAGATCTTTATAATAGGATTGACTTCTTCACTTAATATCCATAGAGACCCCTTTTTATGAAACTGTAATTCTATTGAAACAACTCATGCTGAAACCATCCAACCCCAAGGCTTTATCTTTTACAACTTATAAGCCTTTCACGAATCTCCTCCCTAGAAAAAGTTTGCTCTAGATATAACCGATCCTGATCACCTACCTTGTTAAAGAGCAAACCCATAAAAAGTGGGTCTCTATGGAGCATCTTCGATGCAAAGATTTTCATAATAGGATTTGATTTTTTTGCTTAAAATTCATTACCCTTTACTGCTTGACTAGTAACCTCCAATTCCACCACATAGTTACATTTTTTTATGATGGTTTGCTAAACTGTGAAAGAATTTAGTATTTCTACCCCATTCCTTTATCCACTTGACTCCAAATTATTATCTCCATGCGATTTCTCCATGAAGCATGTTTGCTAATTCAAGCAAAATTCTCTCTCTTTCTTTTACATCTTCCCCAATTAGACCTTCTTCCCCTTCCGGACAATCTAACCTTTCTAACTCACTAAAAAGTGAATCTCTTTTTTGAACCTCCAGTCAAAATTCCTCCTTATTCCATTGTTTGGGTTTGTCTTCGGTCATTGCTAGTTTCCTGGCTACCATATAGCCAGCAAAGCCTTCCACCTCCATCTCTTCCCACCACTTCTTGATTTTATCACAGGACCTTCGTACTTTGAGTCAATTGTTTCCAAATCTGAATGGGCACGAACCCCATCTAATACAATCGGAATCCAAACAAATAGAAAAATATTCTAAAGTCGGGCATCGCAAGAGCTTTTGTACTAACCTCCGTATTTGAATTTGGAAAGATGTTGAAACAATGAATATGTTAATTCTAGAAAAGGTGGATCTCTCCCTGGGAGTCGACCAAGTTCATCCACCTCCAGAAAGAGGATTATCCATAAGATTCAACCTGTCCGTAATGGCTTGAAATTCCTCAGCATATCTGTTATAGAAATTCTCCCCCAACCATTCCTATCCATTTAGGGTCATGTTTGGACTCTGCTCCAATCATCCATGGAAAGTTCCATCATCTCTTGCACTCCTCTGTATCTCCCCATAACCTCTCCCTTTCTGTCTCACCATTACCATACACACCTGTGAAAATCCAGCTCGATTCTTGAAAGCAAATGACGTCCAGTTTTCATCTGGCCATGCAGCTTTTAACAATCATCTTCTTGTCCTGTTATTTAAACTTCTCACATTCCATGAAATGATTTTTCTTGACATAATAATCAATCTGTAGTCCCTTTTTCTTGCCCTTCCTTATAGTTCTATCATAATTGATGGGTGATTGTAATCTTCTCCTCCTTATCCCCACATCCACATCATTCTTGCTCTTTATTGTTGATTTTCTAATTTTTAGACTCTTCCCACCCCTTCTATAAATATTTTCTTAAATCTTTGTTCTTCAAACCCACATAAATGGACATCCAACAAACAATTAACTTAATATTATTAAGGACCTATTCATTGTATTCATCGTTATCACAGTTCATCTCCTCTTCTCTCTCCATTATTGACACCATCTAAACATCCCTGCTACTCTCACCTTCCCCTTGTCTCTGTGAATTCTTCTCTGACATAGAAAAATAGTAGTTCTTGAGAAATCGGCTCTCCTTTTCACTCAGAACTCATCATCCTGCCCTACCCACGACTTCTGCTCCTCTTCGAACATTGTGTCATCTATTTGTTCCAAACAACCTACTAGAAAGGATGATTGCATTTCTTGGGCCCTATGCCAGCTGTTTCCTCGTTGAAACCTAAAGCCAAAGCATTAACCTTCTGAGTGTTCACCTTGAACATCGTACCTACGATTTTCTTTTCCTATCAAAACCTAGTAAATCTCTTCGTGGGCCCCTTCTCTACACCTTGACCCAGAAACTAGTTGGGCTTAAATAGAGGAAGGCCCCCTACTTGGCCCACATTCGCAAGATGGGTCAAATAATAGCCTTTTGAGATTCAATTTTTGCCAGACCTGGCTCTGTTTCAGATCTCTTCTTCTCCACCTGACTCAACAACTTTCTTGCCTCTTTCACCACCTCCAGAAAATGGCTTCTTGAGCTGCTTCTCTAGGAGCACAAAGAACAAAATCTTGCAATTAGGGCATATGATGCTGCAAATCATCCTCCTGGAACTTATTGTGATTGAGACTCTTTTATAGATGTCATTGTTCAAGTCAACCCCGGTTTCCACGATGAAATGAAAGTTCTCCCTATTAGCTCACTTAAGCTCACTATCATTCTCCATCATCCGCCTACTTGAGGATCCTTGCGAAATGTATATCCTTTTCCCCTTCTCTCTTCTCTGTCAACACTAAAGACTTGCCCCATTCATTATCACCTGAAGGCACCAGAATGTCTGCCACCTGCTCCCCGTTATCCTCACATGAACCATTACCTTTCTCCCAGTATAAATCATGAAGAATTCCAAGCAAGCAATTCACCTCCTCTATTAGTAGACAATCAAGATCTGAAGCCCCTCCCATTTTCACTCAATTTGAGACCCTCGACTCCCTATCCGACAAAGTTACACGTCTTAAAAATGTTGCTAAACAAAGATTATAGGGCACGTGTTTTTCACATAAATACCAAATGCTTTCAAACTTCATCTCATAGACAAAGAACATGACAAAATTTTCCAAGACTAAAAATTGAAACTTGAAATAAAAGGTAATAAATTCAAATTAAAGTACAGAACAGTAACTTGATGAAAAACAAACGATAGGTACTGGGTTTCTAAAGAAATTTTAGCTAACCAGTTGTTGGTGGCTTGAGCTCTCCAGCAGCATATTTGCCCATAACGCCACTGCACCTGTTAATACATATCAATTTACATTTTTCAGCAAAAAGAAAATATTGGGGCCAAATTATTCCATCTTAATCTACATGGCAAAATTCTCTGATCATTAAATCCTTAATGAGTTCTTTTCTATACAACAAACATTGCATATGAAATGGTGCCTCATCTCCGCATGTATAAGTTGTGTGTTTGCATAAATCTAGATGCCATTTTATCATAGAGAAAGAGATAATATTAACAGGAACAGAAAAAATTCAAAGAAAATGGAGGATTAGTTATCCTCTCATATAAGAAAAAAAAAAAGAAATGAAAACGACCAACTATTCTTGCGAAAGAATAGCTAGCCAACCTCTAAGCAACATAAACAAAGAAATATTTTTCAGATAGCCAAGTGCCTTAACTCACAAAAATGCCAAGAAAAGCATCTTATACCAAAGAACCAAAAAGGGGGAAGCATGATCCCTGAAAATTTGCGCACTTCTCTCCAATTAAATTACCCACGGCTCAGCAAAAAAAAGCCCCTTGCAATAGAACTTAGTTATGCTTCTCCAATCTGGCGCCCAGAAGAGCAACTGAGAGGAAACCCTCAAAGATCTCTAAGGAAAACCAAGAGATACCAAAGATAGCAAACACTCGAAACTAGATTCTCCAACCCATCTCACAATGCAAAAAAAGGATGATCATAAAGGTCTCCCTAGCTCAACATCAATCAACTCCAATAATAAGTTATTTATTCATTATAATGTGGCTTGAAAGCTTATGCCTAGCCTTGACATCTTTGGTGTGAGTAAAGTTCATCCCCCTTCCTTAGAAGTATGTTCGGAAGGCAAAATAATGAAAGGGGGAGGACGTGTGTGCGCGGCTGAGCCTTGTCTATTGGTGTGCACAGCAACAGGTGGCAGCGGCTGTAGGTGACAACAGCTGTAGGTTGGTCACCAGACTATTGTGGCAGAGATTGAGGCAATTGGATTGGCTGAGTTAGACGTGCCTGGAGGAATTTATTAATCTCATCCCGCTAACTATTATTTAGGATCGGTGGAAAGAGAAAAATAGGAGGGTTTTCGATGGGAAGGAGAGTGATACTGCAAAAATTAAGGATCATTGGCTTCATTATTTGGCATTGATTTTTTTGGGGCACGACATGTATAGGGAGGAGGATATTGAACATGTCATAGATAGAATTACTGAACTATAAATAATTTTGTACACGGGTTCCACTCCCTTGGTGCTCTTGCAATACTGCTGTTTATACTTTTCATTTTTTGAAAAAAAGATTAAAGTGTCTCATGATTTGAATTGCAAAGTCTCATTTTTCTTTATTTTATAGTGAAACATTTACACTATGCTGGATGTGCATTTGCTAAACTATAAATGCGTGACATTTCATAAATGCGTGACATTTCATAAATGCGTGACATTTCATAAATGCGTGACATTTCATAAATGCGTGACATTTCATAAATGCGTGACATTTCATATAAGTAATAAAAAGAGCACTATACTCAATCAACTACCGATGGAAGAAGCAAGAAGAACAAGAAACTTGGAGGGGGATTCCAGCTTTCCTATAAATGATTGAAAACATCCTTTCATGGAACGTGTAATTAAGGTATGTTGAAGCAGATGGAAGTCGGTGATTGCCTGCTTCCAGGAGACTAAGATTGAGATTGCTGATGATAGGTTTATCAAAAGTCTCGGGCGAATTGATGATGTGAGCTAGCAGCTTCTCCTAGCCAGAGGCACCACTGGGGGCATTCTGTTGATGTGGAATAAGGAAAAGCTTGTTTGCAAAGATACATTAATTAGAGAGATTACCTCCTCTTGCCTTTTTTTCCAATAGAACGAGGGGGAATGATTGATTTTTCTCGGGTATATACTGTAAGGGGAATGTTGAGGAGTGCTCTTTTCTTTGGTTGGAGCTGTCTAAATGTCAAAACAAGTGAGGGAACCAGGGTGTGGTTGGGGGCGATTTCAATATGATTCTGAGGTGAAGTGAAAAGTCTGGTGATAACTTTTCTACTGTGTGCGCTCAGGAGTTCAGGGATGAAATTGAACATTTGAATCTGACGGATTTGTCTCTCAAGGGAGGTACCTGGACATGGAGTAATCATAGAGACAACCCGTCCTTTTTCCAGAATTGAAAGTTTCCTGGTGGCTCCTGACATTCTTTCAATTGCTCGGACCTGATTCAAAAGGTACCATCCTGACCAATATCTGATCATTTTCCTTTTTTTTTTTCTAATGGCATCAAATGGGGCCCAATCCCCTTCCGGTTTGATAACAAATGATTGAAAATTAATAACTTCAAGAAATTTGTTCAAAATATGTGGACTAGTATCAGGGTGTAAAGCACTGGTAGTTACAGAATCGTTGTCAAATTCAAGAACCTCGAATCCGAAATCAAAAGGTGGTCTAAGGAGATTGGGCTTAAGGAAAAGTGAATCACCAGTGATATCATGCCGGAGATCACTGATCTTGACAACCGGGAGGGGGTGATGGATCTCACTGTGGACAAGAGGGAGAGAAGTACCTTGAAAATTGATTTGGCAAACAGGTTTCACCTTGAAGTGGTTTTGTGGAAACAAAAGTTGAGAGAAAAGTTGCCTAAAGGAAATAAAAACACAGTTTTTTTACTGTCTTGCCAACGATCGAAGGAGGAATAATTATGTTCAGGATCTCATGATTGATGGTAATTGTATCACTGGTAATTCAGCTATGAGAGAGGGCGCGAAAGACTTCTATCAAAAGTTGTGCAAGGAAGAATTTTTTCTACGCCCAAGTCTTGATAATCTTCATTTTAGGGTACTTGAGGCAGACAGCAGTAGTCAGCTAGAAGCCCCCTTCACTGAAGAAGAGATCCTTATTGGGCTCCGGAATTGCTGTGGTGACAAAGGCCCTGGACTCGACGGCTTTAATCTTAAGTTTTTGCAGGTGTTTTAGACTCTAATTAAGGATGATATCATTGATATACTACGGGAATTTTATAGTTCTACTCAGTTCATCAAGTCATTGAATGCTACCTTTATACCTCTTATCCCAAAAGATTAGGGGTAAAAAACATTAGCAACTTCTGACCGATTAGTCTCATGAACATCCTGTATAAACTTATTTCTAAGATTCTGGCCAGAAGATTGTCAAATGTACTGCATCAGGTCATCAGCGAGTCTCAGCATGCTTTCGTGAATGGTAGGCAGATCTTTAAAACTTTCATGTCCACCAATGAGATGGTTGATGAGCTAGTATTTAATATTAGACCTTGGGTACTTTGCAAATTGAATATGGAAAAAACATTTGATCATGTCTGCTGGAAATTCGTTGACTGTATGCAGGTTTGGTTTCAGGCTGAAATGGAGAAAATGGATCAAAACGTGTATTTCCACAACCAGTTTTGCAGTTATAATGAATGGTGGGCCCTCTTCTTTTTTCCATGCTTTTAGGGGCCTTAAACAAGCCGACCCATTCTCACCATTATTATTTATAATTGTCATGGAGGCCTTAAACAAACTCCTAGAAAGGGCTAGAGACTTGAAATTGGTGGAAGGTATCATCTTGGATAATAACAGAGACAGCATTGAAGTCACCCACCTTTTCTTCGTTGATGACTCATTAATCTTTTGTAAAACCAGATGTCGAAACTCTTCTCAACTTGAGATGTGTCCTCCTTTACTTCCAGGCTGTTTCTGTACTTAAAATTAACCTCGGTAAATCTGAATTAGTGGGCATTGAGACTGACAGCAATGGGAGTCACCTGGCTAACGTTTTAGGTTATATTGAGAAGCAACTCTCAATAAAATATCTTGGTTTTCCGCTGGGAGTTAAATTCAAATACAGAAATTGGTAGGATCCAGTGATTAATCTAGTTGATAAAATGTTGAATACAGGCAGTGGAAGAAACACCACACATGGGAAGTGATAGACCTACCTAAAGGAACAGATCTGTGGGATGTAAACTGGTGTTCACTATAAAGTACAAAGTTGATGGTACAATAGAGAGACAGAAAACAAGACTGATGATGGCCAAGGGGTATACTCTGAACTATGGAATAAACTATCAGGACACTTCTGCACATGTTGCCAAGATGAATGCAGCCTGAGTTCAATTGCTTTGAGCTGCCAACTGTAATTGGTAACTACAATAGTTTGAGTGAATAATATCTTCCTACATAGAGACCTCCACGAGGAAATTTAAATAAAAATTCTGCCAAGATTCACAAAAAATGTAGGGGGAAATAAAGTTTGTAGATTAAGAAAGGTTCTTTACAGACTGAAATAGTCACCAAGGGCATGATTAATAAGGTAGCTTTACTAGTAAGTCTTTGTTTACCTTCCTAACCCACATCTACCGGATGTTGTTTCAGGAAACTTATTATGGAAGATGTACACTCCCTCTTAGGCGAAAATATTTGCTTTGACTGCAGTTCTTATTGGCCCAATACCCATTATTCACTTTGTATTCACAAGCCAAACTTTGCTCTTCCCGAAGTGTTTGTTAATTGTTTTCCTTACATTAAAACTCACAGCCATCTTTTCCTGCAGTGTGATGTCACTTAGAGGCAGTAGACTCAGTTATTTGATACTATTTGACACTTTGGGGTGTGTTTGGTTACTGCCTTTGACATTGTAACCCTTATTTTCCTCCTCTTCATGGGGTTGATAAGAGGAAAGAGATTAGATTGTTGGGTTATAAGTATTGTAACTGAGAGAAGTACTAGGAGTTTCATGGATCCACTGTCCTCTTTTTCTACTCTTTTTGGGACAATATGCTGTTTTCCCAGCCGCTTTCTCTTTTTCGTTTTTTTTGGTAGTTTCTTCTGCTGGATAACAGTCTCCCATGATGTATTCCTTTTCTCTCTCTAGCTAATAATGCGTATTTTTCCATATAAATAAGATATACAAACATGTCTATCATAAGTAATCAATACATTCAACGTATTGTTGAAACCAAGAAGATGCTTCGCACAATAAGGCAAGGAAAGGAAATAAATGATGAACAACAATGTGAAGTTTCTATGTTCTCAAGTTCTACCACATATGATCAGCACATTAGCCCTGAAATACAGTTTCTAGACTGAAAAAGATTTTCCATTTCAACTATGTTTTTTTTTTCTTCCCTGAGACTTTGAGATGAAAGATAATTTATAATTTCCATAGAAGTAGTGTAAGAAAATCTGGAATTGGTGTCAGAAATATCTAACTCCCCAATCTCCCAGAGTCCCAATGGCAACTTCAATTCAGACTGTTTCAACCATGTAATAGCATTTAGGAATGCATCTTAAGGCCAAACAGATTGTGGAATATGCTGATATCAACCAGTCTCAACTGTTTGTCAACCTTCAACATGAATCCTTAAATGGTTTCAAATTCTGTGGCAGGCAATGCTTTGCATTGTCAGCAAGAAGGTTGAAATCAGAAACACATGTACAAGAGCAGCCACTTTGTGCTAAAAATCAATGTGATTCAGGTTCCACCAATAAAATTTTTAGCACAAAGTGGCTGCTCTTGAAACTAGACCTATTTTCTCGAGCTGGTCAGCCCGATACATTTATCACTGCACCAAGTTCTCAATTTTTAACCTACCAAGTACGGGTAATGGTAATAGATAAATATATATATACTCAGGTTTCTTTATCTTCATCCGTTGGATGGGCTCAGATCACTATGTGACAACAAACCAGCACTACAATGTTGATAACACAAGCAAAAACAAAAAGATCAAGTGTTAAGAATTAATGCACTCACCATCTGAAGTAGTCACTTCTGATAGCTAGAGGTGCAGCAAGCAAAATATCAGTGATCCATGGAGATAAGGGCCTTAAAGGCTTCCTCTCCGGTTGTGCAAAAGGTACATTGCTAGATTCCATTTCTGTGGAAAGTCTTTTAGCTCTATCAGTTTGAGTGCTTTGTTGCTCCACCTTATATATCGGACGATTGTAATGAGTCAAAATCCGAAGAATCTCCCCGCATGCCAGAGCCCACTGCTCAGAATACTCATTCTGTAAAAGTTGATATGCCTAAGCACATGTCACAAAGTTTCTCTTCAAGCTTAAACACATACATTTTTCTGTACTGAAGTATATAATAGAATCCTTCAAGATTATAATAGCATGAAGGACAAGAAGATCTTATAAGATTCAAGAGTGAAAGAAATCAAATCAAACAAATAAAAAAAAAAAGAAGAATCCTGAATATAAAATGAAAAATGAACAGAATTCAGAAAATATACCTCACTACTTGGGCAGACCAAGGAAATAAAAGAAGCAAAGGGCGGACAACTCCGATCATACACCAGTGTGCCATCAATAATGCATGAAATAATTGGAAGAACAACAGCATGCCCATGCTCCGGATGATGGAGAACAAACATTGCTGATTATAAACACATAAAGTTATATAAATATGAGATACACTTGGGATTTAACGATTTAGAGATAACATTTAGTGACCTAAACTACCATGAAAAGGGGTCAATACCCAGAACATCATCAAAGAGGCGCTGTTCTTTTGATGGATAGCGGTTACGAATCAGCTGTGACAAGAATATATATCAGAACAACAGTTTTAAAGAAATGTAAATGTAGCTATTGCTGTTTTAAAATACAAATTGCCTGGGCATATTTGTGCTAAGTTAAGCACATACCTCGGCAATATCCTCAGGAAATTGTTCAGATGTGAATTGGCCGAAGAATTCAACATAAGCAGCAGTTTGAGCCTACGCAAGCCAATAAAACATAAAAGGAAAATGTATACCTACCATCAATAATTAGAAAAAAAATATCTACATAGGATGGAAAACCAACAACCATACAGAAAATCAGAATAACTGAGATAATATAACAATCAGGTACTCTAAACTAACCATTTTCTTTTAATTTTCTTTTAGATATAAAAGAAACAGAGAATCAAAATTCATTATACTTCTTCATAATACCACTTTTTTTATTCTGCACAAATACATCTATTAAAAATTAAATTTCGATACTAGCAGCTTTGGGGAAAAAAAACCAATAGGAAGACAATTTGAAATTTTGGTTCTTACTTTCAGTCTGATTCAAATGATTAATATCCAGAACACAAAGACTATTACCCCCTCACTTATCAGGGGGAAAAAAAATAGAATCCCCTTCCTAACATAGAGTTTTCACTAAGTTAGCTTCAGGCTTGTTTATATAGCAATATTCACATCAAGACCTTCCATCACTCGCCTGTCTTTTGGCTACTTAAACTCAGCCACGAAATTATTTGAGTAATATGATTATAGGTTTCCACTTTTGACTTCCATCACTACATGTCTTTTCACGACTTAAACCCAACAAAGACTCAATTTCCGTGCATCCCTTTTGGGTATATAGAAAACACATCCAATTTCAACCATATATATTAGCAGCTTGAATTTAGAGTCAACCCAAACAAAAATGGAAATGAATTAAAAACAATCAAAAAGAGAAATAAAGCTTACCTTTCTTTGTTCTGGGTCTTGTGGCGGACGCCAAAACAATGAAGAGAACCGGAGTCCATCAAACCACCTCGCTGATGAACTCGCCATTTAAAAGCCAAAATTGGAAAAAGAAAATCCTCCGAAAATACCCTTTCAGAACAACAAACACATACGCAACCAAAAAATCTGCAGGTTCCCTCCTTTCCTGACAGCTACCGATCAAGAATCAGTATATCGTAATTCAACATCCCCAGGCAGACTTCGTCAGGTTACTCAGATTACCAACCAAAAATCGTAATTAGGTTTGAATTCCCTCAGAAGAACTTGCTAGCAAACTACCAACTTTTTTGCCTCCTTCATGTAGAGAAATACAAAGGGTGCTAACTTTCCAGCTTCCCTGCCTAGAATCTGACAACCTAGACGTATGGTGCTTGCACAGAAAGTGATTTTGATCTTTAATTTTCTGCAAAAAGAAAAGGTGAGACGCAATCAACTATTAGGTAGAAAAAACCAAGGAGGCATCGATAAATTTTCAGAAATTAATTTCAAAAATAATGAAAATTTTCTCAAAAGAAAAACAGTCCATATGAGACTGAAAAAGTTAAACAAATTAATCACCTTCTCCAAAACCCAAGAACCAAAGAACAAATCCTCTAAGAAATGGCAACTAAACTCCCCCTCCCAACCCAAGAAAAAAGAAAAACAAGAAAGAAAAAACAAGAAACTAAACCAAAACAATAACTCGGAAAAAACAAGAAACTAAACCAGAACAAAACTCATACACCATCAAATTTAGCATAGTTGAGCTTCAAATCTAGAAGGGGGGAAAAAGAAAATCAAAACTCCATTATCAACAAAAACATTAAACCTTCAAATAAAGAAAATGACAGAATTAAACCCATAAAGAACAACTGATCAAGTACCTCCTATATCTCTGCTGCTAAGAAAATACTTTTAGCAGATTTACTCTGGATATTTCATAGTTGGTTTGAAATCCATAGCCCAAATGCTTCCTTTATTAAAAAAAAAAAAAATTAACAAAAATAAAAACAATGAAATTTCTTTTCAATAATTTTTGTAAGCTAAGAATTTTTTTAAGTGGCTGGCTGTAGTTTTAAAGAGGGAGAGGATCTTTTTTTCTGAGAAGAAGAGAGAGCAGATCTTTAGATGGCCTGTTCGCAGAGATAGCCGCTGACGTGGCAATGATATTTTCTTCTTGCCAAATGGGTTGCGTGTCATGTCATGCCATGCCAGCATGCATACCATGGACGCACCATCACACATGCATAACATGCCATACATACATAAACCACGGGTAAATTTAGTCATACGCGAAGGGGAAAGCAGAACTAACCGGGAAAAAAACGGTGCGTTTTATTAATTTTACTTAATTGCCCCTCAAACACAATGATTAAAATTGAATTAGTGTTGGTTGTTTCTCGCTCCTATTTTTTAAATGGTTTTTTTTATTTTTTGCCACTAAGTGACATGTCATCAACTGTCAGAAGATATTTTCGGAGGAATTTTTCCAACGTACTGCGGAGGAGTACATTCGGATTTGCCTTTCGGCCGTCGATTAAGTATGATGGTTTTGATTGAGTAATCAATACGACGGATTCGATTATGACCGTCCGATCGAAATGGGCCTTCGTGTTTTGACATCTAGTGGTTGCAGCCACTCATTTCCCCTCCACCCACTTATAACAAAAAGCTTATAAATCAAGTTTGTCGACTTCTCCTTTTCTTAACATTAACTTTTTGAATTTTGACTTTTTGAATTATTTTTAGTTTGTTGAACTCTGCTGTTTGAAGGATTTCAATTTAATATTCAAACTAATAAAATAATTGTTAAATATCTGTAAAAGTTTAAATGTAAGTATAACAATAATATTTATTGTTAAAAATATATTAGGATCTCCACTTACTTAGACACTAAACAATAATTTAATATATATTACAACAACGATATTTTATAGAGTACGATAAATTTATAAGGGTACCCGACCATAAAATAACTCAATTAAATTTTACTGATAAAAATACGTAAGTAGTTAAAACGTAAAAATCTTGACACGTGCTAGGACTAATGAGGGACCGAGGCGAGCCCATGACTCGAAAAGGTGTCTCGTTGCAAAAATTTAGTCTCCAACTCATGTTTGCCAAATATAAGAGTGTAGGTAAATCCTAACTCTTATAAAAACTCATATAACAAAAGGAGAAAACCCAAAGTGATTCATGAACCCTCGAGCAAGGTGGGGATAAAATGGTTGGAAGTTAATTTGTAACTAGGAGTACAATAATAGCATTGAGTGGTCGCCTTCATTAAGATACTATCAGATTTGAAAACTATTTTACTATTGACTTTAATATTTATTTTATATGTTGTCTAAAATATTACGATAAGACATATATGATGATTTTATAGTGTATTTACTATTTTCTTATCAAATATGTATTAATTGTACATATAATATGAATAGTCAACTATGATAAACGTATACATAAATATTTATTAAAATAAATGACAAAGGTAATGAAGAAAATTTGTTTTTGTAAAAGATAGATTAGCCATTATGCAATAGATAGTTGAGGTAGTGTTGAAAGTTTGATGCCTATAGAAAAGATACCATAATAATCTGGTCAGGAGGATATGCTTTGATTAAGTGTTATATAGTGTAGGCTTGCTCAAAGCAAAATAATATGTACGAGAAATGTTGTTGGTAAGAGACAAACCATATTATACATTGCAAAATATTCACTTGCTTCGATGTTATATACTCGAACTCTAATAGAGATATAAGTGGGTGAAATAAACAGTATTTTCATGCTGAGATATTTTTTTATTAATTCCTAGTTTGATTTTTTCGTGTATTCACTTTCATATACGTACTTCCAACATTGTTACATAATCGTCACGAGTAAAGTATTGTTCAAATACATAACATAAGTTGTGATAAATTTCGGTTTATACGCAATCTATTTAATATATGCTTTATAATTATATCTATATTCATAAATAATTTGCTTATAACGAGTTAATTAATTCAAATTTACTTAAAATATTAAACAGTAAAAAACACATATCAAACAATCTAACGTAAGAAATAATAAATATTTTTAATTTCTAACTAATATAATAAAAATAAACTAATAAATATTTTTAATTGCTTATAATTTCTCATAAATTAAGTGTAGATTTTAGCATGCATTTTGTATATGAAAAGTCAAAAATAAATGGGATTATTATTTCCCTATAAAAACTTACTATTAAAATTATTATTTTTAATTAAAAATCTGTTTATATATGAAATTATTTATTAATTTTTTGTTTTTTAAATTCATAAGTATTTATAATATATTTTTGTTTATAGAAGCACATAAAATTTTATACACTTAAAAATTAATTAAAACACAATAACAAATAATTTTTATAAGATATCAAAAATTACATTTTAAATTTTGATGATTCCATCATTAGCTTCAATACTGTTCTATTTATCGTTAGCGAATTTATAAAATTTTGTAAATAAAATACTCATAAATTACAAAATAAGAATTAAAAAATATTTTCATGCCCCAAACATAGCTAATAGCGATCGTATATATTTTTGTGTTAAGAGTTTAAATAATATCGTTCATTTTAATTATTTCTCGATAGTTTTCATAATATTTAAATTTTATTATTCGATCATTTTAAGGTATTTTCTTCCTCATTGCATTTGATTCCTAATGTCATAATTATATAGAGATCATACATTATATCTTATATATAGTTTGATGTATATATCGAGATAATTGAAAATACAAAAATTCTACGGTATAATAGAAATTCTCACAAAAAAAAAAGGTTAAAAATTTTAACTTTATATCTTAAAAAAAAAAAATTATGGATAGTAGACCCTACCAAAAAATTAAGAGTCCCGTTTAATATACATGTATGTATATATATATATATATATTAATTGATGCCAAAGGCAAATTAATTAACTAAGGAATTGCTTTTTTGTCCTTTAATTATTAAAGGAAAACCATGCATGTAGAACCCTTAATTATTTATATTGAAGAACACACACACACACACACACACATATATATATGTAGATATGCGTAGATATAAAATGTGTCATATCATCATGTACGTGCATGGACATGCATGCGGCGACATAGATATTTCTTGTCTTCATGCACGTGCGGTGAATCCACCATTTCTTCCCCATATCTACTTCTGTGTTGTCAACACGAGCAGAGGTTTTGTGAAGTCACAGAGACTACTCATATGCCTGTACTTATGGAAGAGGCAAACTTGTTTAGATATTTTATTGTATGCTGAAGCCATGATATCCACGGTGCAAATAGTGAAATTATAACAAGATCACGTATTTGTTTCGTTGAATTGGGAATAATCTCGTCATACTTTCTAAAATTATAAGTATTTATATGTATTTTTATCACACTACCTGTGTATATGTATAATTTGAGCGTTTGCTATCTTGAAAAAAAATAAATTCTTTTATATTTTAAAATTTAAGTAGGTAATGACATTTAAAATTTTATCTTTACGTAATATATGTAATTGTAATCGATACTTACATATTATCTTTATTTTTTATTTTAAAAAATAAGAGCGCTATATAACACTTTTCAGTATTATTTACAAGTGTGGGAAGCCAAAAGAGCGACAAATGGAGGGGGGGACAATATTATATTTTATAAGAAGAAACTAAAGAAAGGTTGGAAGAAACATAAGTGTAAACAGAGAGGAAAAATATGAAAGAATTTATTCTGGTCATTATTCTGAATGAGGGATAAAGACTCATCCTTTTATTACAAATGAATTGATCGATTGAACAACATTGCATCTATATGTCATTTATACAGATGCCTCTTACAAATTTAATAATATGTTAACTGACTAACTATTTTAACGTAAAACGTAATAACATAAGATGAACATAAGCTAATTATCTAACTGTCGTAACAGAAACTATAGATATTTAAAGAAATTGAAGAATAGATGTTCACGAGGCATACAAGTTGTTCAATTACAGTTTAAAATCATTGATCGAGATGAATAAAAAGTAAGCATAAAAAAGACACCTTCAAATTGTTATCAATGAGGATATAAGAGGTAATATACTACAACCCTCATTTAAGTTACGTGTAGATTTGGTAGGTTGAAGAGTCAAAATATTAAAAGCGATGGACAAGGTTTCGATATAATATAATAAGTTGGACTTGGAGACTATGTGGACAGAGGAGATGCACTGCAATTAAAACATGATGAAACATTGAGTTACTTTTCAGTATTACTTACAAATTTGGGAGGCCAAAAGAGCAAAAAATGGAGGGGGGGACAATATTATATTTTATAAGAAGAAACATAAGTGTAAACAGAGAAGAAAAATATGAAAGAATTTCTTATGGTTATTATTATGAATGAGGGATAAAGACTCATCATTTTATTACAAATGAATTGATCGACTGAACAACATTGCATCTGTATGTCATTTATACAGATGCCTCTTACAAATTTAATAACATGTTAACTGACTAATTATTTTAACGTAAAATATAATAACATAAGCTAATTATCTAAATGTCGTAACAGAAACTATAGATATTTAAAGAAATTGAAAAATAGATGTTCACGAGGCATACAAGTTGTTCAATTACAGTTTAAAATCACTGATCGAGATGAATAAAAAGTTGTGATCAATGAGGATATAAGATGTCGTATACTGCAACCTTCGTTTAAATTATGTGTAGATTTAGTGGGTTGAATAGTCAAAATATTAAAAGCGAGGGATAAGGTTTTGGTATAATATAATAAGTTGGAATTGGAGACTATGTGGATAGAGGAGATGCACTGCAATTAAAACACAATGAAACATATAGTTGAAATACTATATCAAAATCTAAAAAAAAGTTAAAAGAATTTCAAATGTTAAAAAATTTTAATCTTATGTTATTATTTACAAGTCAAAAAACAATTTTAAATAAATAACTTCTCTGAAAATGAGCTAATTTAACTGTACCGTTCAATATGATTATTTCTATAATAGTAACAAGTTTTATCATTTATTATAATATCAATGAAAATGATAAAAAAATAAAAAATATATAAAAGAATTCACCAATATTATATAACTCATCAATTAATACGAGTAAAACATACATACACATATATATATGATATAATATTATTTACGGTAATTTTATATTAAAAATCAGATTTTATTTTTTGTTTATAAAACTAGAGAATAGTTTGAAGAAATTACTTAAAACCAACACGAAAGGTATATAAAAAATAGTCTCTTACAACACGTGTGTGTGTGTATATATGTTATATGCATGTACGTGTGTAGATTTCTTTTAATTCGAAGCACACATACATACACGCACGTGTATCTCTATGCAATTATCGAGAACTAACCAACTTTGTAATTGGACGGGGGGAGTGGACAAAAGGGTCAACGAGTAAGTGCACCACTACTTACACACAAGATGGGTTATTATATACGAATAAATTAATAGTCAACGTGGGTTGACTTACTAATGGCTTAAATTAAAAATAGATAATGTTAATTTTAACAAAGAAACCACTTCAACGTGGTGAAAACGCGGATCAAACACATACAAATTTTTATTTGGTGTTGATATATAATATTATATGTAACTATATGTGTGGAAATACATGTGTATATCTACGTGTAATGATTTGGTCATCACCACCTTTTTTTTGCCTTTGGATTTTTATATAATTTATTAATTAATTATATTAATCTTAGCTTCGAATGTGTATATAGCGGTGTGTATCTATACGCGTATGTAGGTAGGCTACCTATCCCTGATTTACTTACACACGTAGCTTATATATATATATATAAATATATATAATTCAAGTACTTAATTAGATATATATATATATAATATAATATAAGTAAATAATTAACTCTTTAATTAAGAATTAATGCTTCAAAGCGAGTTATTTAAGAAAAAAATAAATAACAAAAACCAAAAAAGGCCGCGGAGAGAACGCAACACGGGATATCAGATTCCCCCACGTGGCTCGTGAAAAGCAACGGGCAACATTTTGCCCGGAAAACGTTACGACATTATTAACCATACACGTGTACGTATTCGGTGGCTAAAAATCAACGGGCAGTTCAGCGGGCAGCTCCAAAAATATCTGGTGGCGGAGGCGCGACCAGCAATCCCTTCGTAGATATTTTTGAGGGAGGGGTCAGATTTCAAATAGACAAAATTAGGGGGCCTGTGCTCGCGTGTAGCCAATCGGAGAAGAGAAACTAATTTATACGCAGTGGATCTGGCCTAACTGACACGTGGCTCGACGCCGTGCGAGGAATATATCTCATGATCTGGCGTTATTCCCACTTGCACAGTTGCCTTCCCTCCGTCCGAGTGGGCCCACCCCCGCGATGGCTGGCACGGCGATGGATGTGGCATCCATGACCCTACTCATGCATGCCATGCGTGGCATGGGGATGGCTTGGTACCATACGTGTCGAGTTTTGATTTGTTATACTGAAGTGGGTCCACGGTCTGAGTTGACTCTTACCGGGACCTGTGGAATTTATGTAATGACGAATCTACCCCCGAATATTCTCCGAGTATTTTTCTCCTCCGTTGGAAGCTTTCGCTGCCAAATAAAATAAAAGAGATATATTTTAAAATTATATATTCAAATCCAGATAAACATGAAAAAATATACTTGAAAAAACAAAATAAAATTATTAGTTTTTTTGTGTAATTTTTCATTAAATTTTTTAAAATTTCATATTTGTAAGCATTAAAAATTCATAAAATTAACATATAATTCATAAAAAAAATATAATTTTTCAATATCTATGTGCATTGTAATTGATACAATTATGTTAATAAATTACAAATTTATTTTTATTTTTCTTAATATTAAGAAAAATATCATATATTATAATAATTATTTTATTTAAATATAGAGCAATTCATTTTAAATTTCATCAAATTTAATACAATTTAAAATGCATTTCATTAAGTCGTATGAAATTATTTATGAATTGAATTTTTTATCATTTTAAAATTTATTTTTTTTCCGTATAATTAAAATAAATGTTAATTTATAAATAAATTTTACATGAATTTAAAAAATTTATTCAGCATAATATTAATGTTGCTTTATAAAGTGAAATTTACTGTAAATAATAACGTAATGTTATAATAAAATTTAATGCAAATATAATGTTATAAAAATATTAGCCATCGAGATTATAGGTGTTACTCACATACTTGACATGTTATATTGGTACCTTATAATGTTCTTTTTTAAATGCATATGAAGCGCATTTCTTTTATATAAATAATTAAAATTATATATTTTTTATAATAAAAAAGATAAATAAAAAAAACAAAAAGGAAAAAAAATACAAACAAGAGCAAAAAATAAAATAATAAAATATTTAAATTAAAAATTACTCGAGTTATTAGTTTATTTATTTATTAATTAAATTTTTTTTTATAAATTTTAATTAATTATATAATTTTATATAAAAATTATCATACATAAAATATTATCAAATTAATTAACCCCAAACACATCTTTACATTTTTTGTCACGCTACACGTGCCTCCAAAAAAAAGGTTTACACGTCAGGATACTTTTGCCAAGTGGAACGATCTAGAACGTCCGTTTTTTTTTTAAAGAAAAACCCATTATATAAAATTAAAATATTTGTTGATTTTTTTATAAAAAAATAATTTATTGATGTAATTGTCGGTTACCCACTCGATCAACTCATTAAAATAACTAAATTAGAAAAATCATGTTGTTCGTTGTCGGTTGCGAAACTGTTAATTAGCACTTAGTTAAGTTAATTAATATTATCAGGTTAATCTTAATTATATTATTCTAAAAATAGAAGGAAAACATAAATAATGATTTTATGATGCCACGTTGTTTATTTGTTTGCCCGACACGTGTCTCCAAGACTTTGTTGGTGTGTTTCTTCGGGTGGGGCCCTTGGACCGATAATGCTGTCTTTACATTAGAAAAAAGTTTGGACGGCGCCTGTGATAATTACGTTTGACGATGTAAAGTAACCTTTGGATTTTATTTTAATTTAATTTGCAGTACAAAAATTATTGTTTTCATATAATTATAGTTGGATCGACAGGAATTTTTTGTATTTTATTTAAATAAATAAATAAATAAATATACGTATCGAATATCTATATATGTATATATATTTAATTATATATCGAAGATATACAGTAAAAATATATATAATTAATTAATGAAATTTAATTTGAGTTCTACCAGGTTAGTCTTGGAGGCCAAGTGATTTTATGAAGATTTGCTAAATGGGCGGGCTTTTTATTAGGAATCATCATTAATGGGCTGAATGTAGGGCCCATCAAGGCCCAGATCTTTGATCCTTCTCACGTGTGTTTCCCACGTGCGACAATGTCTTCCGGTTCTTATTTTCTCTCGCTTCCGTCAGTGGAGGAAACAGAAAACTCGATCGCGGTAAAGGACATGTGTAATTCAACAATCAGAAGAGGAAGACTGCGCAACGGGAAAAGCTCAAGCTATTAGAAGTTCGCCTGAGGCGATGAAAGAGTTGATATTCTCTCGTATCTTCTTGTCGCTTATCCTGTTGTCTTCTTTTTCTCCGGCAATTGCCAGAGGTGGCGAGCTCACTTCTCTTTCTTCAGGTCGTCCTCCTCTTCTTCTGATTGCTCCCTTTATACACATATATTTACACACGCATGTTCAAAGGTAATAATAAAACGGAAGGTTTTAATCTTTAACTGCAAATGACTGATTTTGGGGTCATGTAAATGGAGATGCATACATAATGCATGAATAGTGGGGTAATTTTGAATGTGAAAAGAAACGGAACAGAAGTTTTTGAATTGTAAGTTTTTATCCGTTACAACTCTTTCTAGGGATCGTCTGCTCTAACTCAAACTATAAATAACTTGAAATCGATCCCCTTTTTCTGGTTACTCCGCTGACAGTATCTTCCTGCTAGAAGCTACCGGCGTTTTTTTGGCCTTTTAATTTAGATGTCTTCCATAATCTTTATCGCACAGATTTTTCAAAAATTCTCTTTAATTACGGGGTTTGATCGTCGATTTCCGCTTGCCAAAAGTAGAAATTCTTGCTATGGCATTTTATTTACAATTTCTGGGGCTTCTTCATGGTTTAGTTTGTATTCAGACTAGCTGTTATCTTGATTTTTTTGCTTACTAGGTCTTCGGAATATCAGTTATGCCGGATCTACAAGGCGCTTATTTCAGGAGAACCAGTCTCAATCGAGGTATTTGCCTGATGCAGTTGGACTTAACTCTGTTTATTTATTTATTTTGTTCTTCTTTAAAATTTATGTTTAAGTTACTAATAATGCATATTTGCTTCAGTGTTGATAAAGCTCATGGTTACATGACAAATGCTGATCTTGAAAAAGCTATTATGGAGTTTGCACGGAGATGTAGTAACATTTCTAGGATCTACAGGTGATTCGTAATTTTTAGAGCAAAGTGCAGTTTGATACTCCGTGGTTTAGGATTTTTCATATTTGATACATGTGGGTTATTTGTAGCAGTTTTAGCGCTTACTGTTAGTTTAAACTTGTGAATGGTCTAAATTTTAAAAGTTTGACATGTAGATAACTAATATTAGATATCCAAACTTAAAAACAATCAAATCTAAAAGCTATATTAATTTTAATATGCACATATTTCCTCAAAAGATCTCCAATCTAGATTTTTTAATTTTTTTTTCTTTTATATTTAGTTTTATTTTTGTTTTAATTTTGAGTCTTTTTATCTTTTATTGGTATAGAAAATCTGATATAATCAATCCGTGTGCATAACTTTTTAGTACTTAGACAACTATGTATTCAGAAAATGTTATATTGACTGAAAAATCATTTCAAACCACGATCACTGAAACTAGCAGAAGATATTCCATATATATTGAATCTGAAAATCCTAAGCCATTGAACAGTTAATTTACTGCAACTTCATTTGGTGGCTATGACAGAATTTAAGAATAACTCATTCATAAAAAATACAAGTTGCAAACTATAGAAGCTGTCCTTCCACTGGATCAAAAAATACTGCATTCATCTGTAAATTCCATTATTATTATACTGATGGGTTCTTTGTTCTCTCTTTGAGGGTTTTCTGGAAATGGTCATCAGTATTGGCAAAAGTGTTAATGGAGTTCCTCTGGTAATAGTTTTACTGCAGTTAGTTCCTAGTTTGTCTCCTAATTCTATGATCTCTGTATGACATATAATTTCATTTTTGAAAAATGATGTTTTCTTGTTCATGCATGAGTTTTATTGAAATGGTGACCGTGTTGTTTGATTTTTCTCCACTAGTGGGTAATAGAGATCTCTGACAAGCCTGGGAAGGAAGAGGCTGAACCTGCATTTAAGGTAATTGAAATACAATTCACACAGATAAGCACATATACAACATTTTTTTTTTCGAGACGAACATATGGACAACTTAAAATGACAGCAATGAATTTATTTTGTGAAACTTATATGATATTTCTATTCATTATCTCAACAAAAAAAAAAAAAAAATCATTATAAGCTGTTTTACATGTGGGGAGCAATTTTTGGGAAAAGTGGACTGTGTCTTAAAGTAAGTAGATTGTCTGAGATGCTAATTAAGTTAAATAATGGTTATATGTGTGCTACAACTTCTTGTTAGAGCATTTTGTTAGTTTCAGTTTGGTAGCTGATGAGCCATGTTGGGTGATGCATATACCAATGTTATTGAATAGGTTAACCAAACATTGGGGAAATTAAGGACCCTGCAATAGTATATAACTGAATCTGTGGAATTAAGAGTTGGCACAATATTTATAATCATTTAAAAGAAATTATTTCTAACAATAAATAACTTAATGGCCACACTCCTTGTGGAGGAATTTTTGGTTTGAACTTCCCATTTATCTCTTTTACGCTGGGATCTAACTTGTAATTTATTGATCTTTGAGTGTACAAAAATGCTAACACTGTATTTGTGTAAAAATTTTGTAAAAGAATGGAGAGGAAAGAAAATGAAAAGAAAAAAGTGGTTTTTAAAGGAAATGAAAAGGAAAGTATTTCCATTGTTTGGATAACTAAAAGTTGAAGAGGTAAAGGGAACAGAAAGATTGTGATAGTATTTTATTTGATTTAGCTTTATAAAGGATGGAAATGATTAGTGTTTAAAAATAGTCAAGTAATGTCGTTCACCAATGGGGTAATAAATTAGGTAGTAAAAACAAAGTAGAAAATTCTCTAAAATTTTTAATGACTTCATTTCTTTTTCTTCTCCTCAAATTAGAGAGATAGAAAAGTTAGAGTTTTAAGAGAAAGGAAGGATGCTCATTATCCTTCTATTTCTTTTACTAAGTATTATCTTTTATCCAAACAAGTGAAAGGAGGGTGAGCATTCCTTACTTTCCTTTCTTTTCTTCTCACTTCCCTCCACCCAAGAATAGTGTAAAGGATATGAAGTTTGAGAAATTGCAACGACACATCCCACATGGGCACCCCTCACCTTCCCCAACACACACACACACGCACACACAAACAATTGCGTGGGGGATTGTGTAAACTTTTTCCTATAGCATCTTGTAGCACTTGGTGGAGGCATTTCATGTTATTTCCATCATGAGAGGTGCTATTATGAGTAGAAACTAAGAAAAGATACAAGTTACTTTTATGAAGCAAGAAAAGTAATTTTTTTTATGGAAAAGAGTTATTGTATGGGGAGCTAGATAAAAAGTAAGGTCAAAGTCATTCTCTCTGTGAAGGGATTATTATGTATGAATGAGAATCCTCAGTTTTATCTCATATTACCCAATGTACAATAAAGTCTTTGACCATACCTTTTCTTTTTTTTTTTTTTTTTTTCTTTTCACTAATTGATAAACCCTACTGCAACAATTGTCAAATATTACATCCTTGGCATTCTTTTAGGACAGATAATAGTTGATTCTTTTGGCATCCTAGAAATTATACCGCCATTTGTCAATGCTTTATCATAACTTTGTTGTGGCTTTCTCACTCCCCATGCAGGTCATATGGTAAGGTTAGATGTGCTTTGATAGGATAGTCTCTTTGAGTAAATTATTGAACAAGTTTGCTCTTCACTAGAGCAGATGGAATTCCAAAGTCGTTGTTTTGTCTTTTTATTCTTACAAGAGCCTCTAGAAGATTACTCTAATCTTTATGTTTCTTTTCTTCTCTTGATCTAGTTAAGGGTTGGGGATGGTTCAAGCTTTCTCTTCTGGGAGGATTCTCAGATTTGACTATGTTTCTTCAGCTTCCCACTTCCGTTACAGGCTATTCAACAGTCATCATAGTTCTATCTTCTCAGTTTGGTTCGAGGCAGGCAATTAGTATTCTTGGAACTTTTCGTTTTTCAGAAATCTAAATATTTGAGAAATAGTTGATATGACCAATATTACATAGCTTTTTAGATCCTATGTTGCTTTCTAATAATCCAAACCATAGAATATGGTCCTTCAACTCTTTGGGTCTATACTTCTGTAAGTCTTATGTGAATCTTCTGATTCATAATCTTGTTACTTGTCCTTTATAAGTCCTTCTTTTGGGAAGAGTTCTTCATAGGTCCTTTTGAAAGGCTTTTGCTCCCCTTAAGGTGAAAATTTTGTTTGGACAGGGGTTAAAGATAGGCTTAATACTAATGGTTTGCTTCAAGCTCGTAGACTGAATTGTGCCTTGTCACCTGGGGTGTGTGGTGTTATTAAAATGCTAAAACACGAAACCATCTTTTCTTGCATTGTGAGATGACCTAGAGTATCTGATCCTGCATTTTTGGATTTCTTGGGTTTCTCCCAAAAGCTAGAGGATTTTCTTTCTTTGGCATTATTGAGTCTGAGAATAAGAGGGAGATTAAAATTTTCTGTTGTGGGGCTTTATTTGCTGGTGTGCGAGCTCTTTGGTCGGAGTGGAATGTTATAGTTTTTTGGAATTAGAAGTCACCTTTTCTGATTCTTTGAGATAAAGTTTGTCTTTTGGCTCCCATTGGAGCCAAGACCAACAGATACTTTAGAAAATATTCTTTATCAGTTTTGTACAGAGATTGGCCTGCTGTTATATTTAGTGACCAGCTAGTCTTTCTCTTTTGCTTTGATTTTCTTTTGGAGGATACACAATCTTACTTATTTGGATCTCCTTCTTTTTAATGTCTTCTTTTTTCTATTAAAAAATTGCTCCTAGTTAATCGCATTGTTCGTTACCTCTGCTTTGAGAAACTACTGAAGGAATGGTTTAATGGATGTTATAGTTCATTGGGAATGTCCATGGAGATGAACCTGTGGGACGCGAGCTCTTGATACTTCTTGCAAATTGGATATGTGATAACCAGATGAAGGATCCTTTGGTATTTTCCATTCTTTTTACTAAATGTCACTGTAATTATTCTTTGTCTTCATGATTGCATGTTATTTTGGTTCAATTCTTCTTTTGGCTTTTCAATTCTAGGTAATCTTGATGCATTAGGCTTTCTTCTGGACAATTCATTAGGCTTCTCTTTTTGGATGAAAAGGAAAACTTATTTTGTCAGGGGGTATGCATGATATGGCATCCTCTTTTATTGTTCATGGAAGAGAAAATTGAGTTAACCACTATTATTTATGAGTGATTTATGGCTATAATTCTAGTGACAGTGATACAATGTCATTATCTACCCATTATACAAGATAATTCTTACTGAAGAAGTGTTATTAAAAAGAGAGAAGAATATTGTAGAAAAGAATGTGATGCAGAACAACGAAAAGAATGTTTTCGGGAAATTTATATTAGAAGACAATAAAGATTTAATTTCCTTTCTAGTTCTTTCCTGTTATGGGATTATACTTCGTATTTAATTATATTCTAGTACCTATAGACAGCGAATCCTAACTAGTTACTGCTAAATTATT